AAATAAAAAAATCAGACCAACTGGGACCCCAATACAAATTTTAAAATCCCAGCTTCATCCGAACGCAAGCAAACCAAACTGTTCCAATTTAGCACCATTTAGCGCATTTAGTACACAATTCCAAGACCACCTTCATATATCAAATGCTTTCCAACCATGATTCTTATACCAAATTTCAAGATTTTAGTTCTCTCCGTTCACAAAATACCCAATGTACCATTTTGAAAATTCGGTAACATTTTAGAACTTTCCTTACCTTAAAGTTCGATGTTCCAAAAATCAAAAGTTGACACGGATTGTTTGTCCTGCACTGTATCAGTGACTTTCATTCCAAATTTCAGAATTCTAGCTTATTCCGTTTATCGAATACAAAGAATTTAATTTTTAGTACCTTTTTGGTACTTTTCATGCCCTTTTGCTACGGATATCCAAAAATCCGAACTTATCACACACATTGCACTGAGATCGATGCTCGGGCAAAATTTCATGATTTTAGCTTTATCCGTTGTGTCTGGATTTTGATTCTCAGTAAAAAATCTATCCACGATCCTAAAAGAAACCGTCCCCCCCCCATTGTCAAAAATGTATATCCCTTTACGACATACCATCTCCGATTTGCAACGCTCGTTTTCTTAGCTCGTTTGTGTTGGCTAAGAAATTTTCTCAAACTTTCTAAGTTTGTTTATTTGTTTGTTTGGTGTTGTGCTGCTGCTGTGTTCTTATGCTCCTACTCCTGCTGCTGCTCTTGTTGTTATTGCTATTGGCAACGGATGCTTAGGTGTTGCTGCTGCTATTACTGCCTCGATTGTTATTGTTGTCGTTGTTTGTCTTCTCCTACTTTTACAACGTATTATTATACAAATGTTAAGCAAACACCGAAAATTTGAAGGTGTGGAACATACAAAAGTCCCGGCACTTCTATTGTTGTGGCCAAGGTGGAAGGGGTTTGATTGAGAGGGGGAGAGGGACAATGTTTTGTTGTTATTTCAAGTCGATTCTCGAAGGCATTAAAGGCAATATTTGTAATACACTTTTGCCCGACAAAAAAAAGAGAAAAGAAATATGCGCTTACTAACGAGAAACACAAACACATGTTCGACACACACTCACACACTCATACATGGGACACATAAACAACCAAATGGGAAATCAAATGAAAGTGGAGATAGAAGTAGAAAACCAACAAGAAATAGGTGGAGGTAAGACATAACCCTTTTGGCAATGTTGTTTCTTTCGGCTGTCCAATGTGTGGCACATTGTCACGTTGCACGGTTAAGAGGAAGCCGAAGAAGAAGAAGCAGAACACGTTTTAAGTTTTCGAACATCGAAATTCAATAGAGAAAGAATTATGGAGTCTCTCTATGCCATCAAGTTGTTGTTGTTGTTGCTTTTGTTGCTGCTGAAGTTTAGTTGAAAACTTAGTTCATTTCTTTTCCTCGTCTCATTGGATCTCTCCTTCTCTCTCTCTCTCTCTCTCTTCGTCACTCGTTGAGTCGAAAGTTGTGTTAAGACGACACAATTATAAATATAATCCACTAAGACATATGTACACTACTAAAGACGACATTAATCACTGCTAGTTTACACCAGCAATTAAGTGTAGTTGTCGTGTCTTTAACTTAACAAGTGGGGGATTAGAGTTAAGATTTGTTTTTGGCAAAACAATCTCTGGAGTGAGTGTTAGATGAGAGAGAGATGGGATAAGTTGGGGATTACCTGGGAATTTTGTGAGCATTTGAGAGGAGGGATGTCTATGAGAATTTAAGTTGTAATTTTCCTGAAATATTCTAGAAATCAAAAAAAAAAACAAGTAAGAACAGGCTATAGTCAACTATGTATACCCTACAACACTACAATATGTTAGAACCTCCCTTTGTCCAAATCCATATGGAAGATTTCGCTTTTGAAATAGGATTTTGACTAGGGACATTTGCCCAACATTTATACACTCCGTCGGGCTGTTAGTTGTTGCAGTCCATTTTACAGATAAAATAATCCAATGGTCATTCAAAATGCTAGAATTCTTCCCCGTCCTTAATTCTCTTTACAGGCGTGTCAATTGGCTTCAATTGTGTGATCGGAAAAAACATTTCTGTTTTTGGTTCATTTGAACCCCTAAATATTTTGCAATCATCTTCAAAAGCAAGAAGCCTCTCTGTATCTCCAAATTTAGACTCATCTATTTGATTTGCTTGTCTACGATATTTGGCTATATTCGTCAACGAAATCAGCATTAAAAAAGCTAGAAATTCGCCGTTTGTGTATTCGGATATTGCCTGTAAGTAATGCTGGTATTTTTTTCACACAAAAGTAGTGGTCCATTGTACCCCTGTCTTAACTCTAACTGTACGCGAGATTTCGTGTCCTTTGGTTTCTATTTGTGACCTTTATTACGGCTGCAAAATAAGAAAAAATTTTAGTTGTTGGTCCATTTCAACCCCTAATATATTGCGGACATCTTTGAAAACAATAGACTTAGCACTTCCGAGCCAACCCCACCCTTGTGAAAATTTCGTGAATGTCACAAAATATTACCATATCTATATTAACATCTTTATTGGCATATATTTCTGCGATTCTTTTAAGATTTTAAACCTTTTGTCAGAATCAGTCCAGCCATTCTTGAGATATAAGCATTCTAACTAACATCCCCTTCCTTCGTATATACACATTGTATATATTTCGCTATATATATCCGATATATTTACTATCGGAATCTACATTACGGTCAGAATAGACCTCTTCGTCTTTTTGTGATTTCGCCGGGACTAAAAATATTCGCCGTTTAATGGAAAAATAGACTTTTATTTAACACAAATGTTATGGCCTATTTCACCCACTAAATATTACCCGATAACCATCAAAATTGGAACCCTACTGCTCAGCCCTAAGCCATAGCCTCATGCTAATTTCCGCGTAGATTGGTCCATAACTGCGACCTGTAGAGAAATTGCAAAATCAGTAATTTTTTCAGTTTTTGGTCCATTTCAACCCCTAAATATTATGCGATCATCTCAAAAGAAATAGGGTTCTATTCTGACCCTACCCCTACCTCCATTCCAAATTCGTAAAGATCGGGCCATAATTGCGAACTGTAGAGTGATTACAAATTAACATGGACAGACGGACGGACGGACATACATAGCTAGATCGACTCAGCTCGGCGAGATAGGAAGATCCATATATACTTTCCTATGTGGGAAACAAATATTTCGAGGTGTTACATAATTTTTGGACCAATCAAACTTATAATACCCCCAACACATAGTGTTGTAGGGTATAAAAATTAAAACAATACCATTTGGAATGAATTTGGATATCTTCAAGAAATAAAGTCCTTAAAAAAATCTATTAAAATTTTAAAAATACCGAATACAGCCGTTGTATTGGGGTCTATACGACGTGGACCTACATAGGCTTTGCTTGTCATAAGCATTAGCATATTCAAATCAAGACCTGGGCCAGCATAGACAATTTTCTGTCACAGGCAGTAGCACCATTACGAACTTCAAATACGACATCTCAAACAATTTCGGTGGGTATTGTACCTAAAATCATCAAAATACCGAATATAGGGAGGTACAGATATATGGGGCCTCTACGAAGACCTGGATAGACTTTTCTGTCACAGACTGAAGTATCAATTTCGAACTTCAAATACTAAATATGAAATAGTTCCGGTAAATAAGGTCTCTAAAATCATCAAAATATCCAATATCGGAGGTACCGTTATATGGAGCTATACGAAAACGGGGACCTGCACAGACAATTTCTGTCTCAGGCTGTAGTATCCATTTCGAACTTCAAATGCCAAATATGAAACAATTCCGGTGAATAATGACGCTAAAATCATAAAAATACCGAATATTGGGAGCTACCGTTATATGGGAGCTATACGAAGACGTGGATCTGCACAGACAATTTTCTGTAATAGGCTATAGTATCTTTTACGAACTTCAAATACCAAATTTGAAATAATTCCGGCGAATAATATCGCTAAAATCATCAAAATACCGAATATAGGGAGGTACTGATATATGGGGGCCATACGAAGACGTGAACCTGCACATATAGTTCTGTCTTAGGCTGTAGCATCCATTTCGAACTTCAAATGCCAAATTGAAATAATTCCGCTGAATAATATCGCTAAAATCATCAAAATACCGAATATCCGGAGGTATCGTTATATGGGGGCTATACCGAAACGTGGACCTACATTAATACCAAAAGTCTGCAGACAAAATTTACATTTGGGTAAATTTTTATCAACTTACTTCATTTCGTTCGGAAGCTAGAGTGATTTCCACAGACGGTTAGACGGACGGACATGGCTAAATCGTCATAGTATTTTACGCTGATCAAGAATATATACTTTCTGGGTCTGATATGAGTATTTCGAGGAATTACAAACGGAACGACAAAATGAATATACCCCTTAAAAAAATATTTAGAAATCAGTCTACATTTTCTTTGCCTGATTTTACTTGTTCTTAGGGTTATCGGTTTATTTTGAACCATTACTTTTGCGAGTAGGTTAATAAATTGGACATTAGCCTAGAAGTGAGAGCCCCAAATTTAATTTGTTATCAAAGTTCAAAATATGTCAAGTCATTGACATCTCGTGGTAATTGCTAGAATAACAGAAACAAGAACAACACCAACAACGCAGTTCTTATCTCCACAATTGATGATTCGAATGAAATTCCAACACTTTTTATAGCAGCTAGTGGCTGGTCACAACAACAATTGCCTACGTTTCACTCGCTTAATTGGTCGCGCCTAACCAGCTCCACAGCGTCTGAGATTCTCACATAAAAATGAGCTGCCCAGATGATATAGAGCTTAAAATAATCCAAGAGGAAGATCGTCCACAAATCCGTGAAATCTTGAGAAAATATTTTTTCACCGATGAACCTTAACGGGCTACACAGAACCGCAAGGAGTGGCTTCACTGGAGGAGGAGGACTCTTTTGGACAACATCAAATATGGCAGCTGTGTCATGGCGGTGCATAAACCAAGCAATAAAATTATTGGTGCCTGTATAGCCGGGCCACAGGGTGTGGATGAGGCCGACCAATTGTTTGAAGCTGCTGCTGTGAAGGCAATACCAAATGGGGAAAATTTTAAAACTATCGCCTGCATTGAACGTGATGCCAAGGATGGTCAACATTATGGTGTTGAAAGAATTCTCGATATCGTTGGAACTTGTGTAGATCGCTCGATGCGTGGTAGAAATATTGCTTCGAGATTTTATGATTTTCTGCGAGATTTGGGTAAAGCGAAGGGTTACCAGCTGCTCAGGGCCGATTGCAGCAGTTTCTATTCGGCACGAATCAAGGAGCAACAAGGATGGGATTGTATCAACACAATTGTTTACAAGGAGTATTTGGATGAGAATGGGGAGCCTGTGTTCGATCTACCACCTCCACATGTTTGCTGTAAATCGTACGCTTTGCGATTGTGAAGTGAGGAGATGGAAATTGATCTAAAATTTTTGGATTATTTTGGATTTATATAAAAAATTTGAATTAAGCGTTTTTATAATAAATCTGTTGGAATATTTCGATAGCTCTTTTAAATGTAATCGTTTTTCGGAAAGATATCTTTATCTTGATCTGGACATCTGACATTTATTATACCTACACCACAAGGTGGTCAGGGTATCATGTCTTTTTGTATTTGTTTGTAACAGGCAAAAGGAAACGAGATAGACCAATAGTTTCTTTTGATGATCTGCATAGAATCACATTCTGAGTCGATTTATGCATGTCCGTCCGTCTGTCCATGTATTTTTGTGAACAAAGTACAGTTCGCATTTATAACCCGATCTAGATGAAATGTTTCCCAAATCATTTCTTTGACCCAAGGACGAACCCTGTTGAAATTGGAGATAATCGGTAACATTTAGGTGTAGCTCCCACATATATCTTCGTTAAATATGCCTTATATTGTGCACCAAACTTGTAATATCAGCCCAAATAGTATGGAATTTTGCACGTACTACCAGATTGGACCTGAAAATAATTATGCCAAATTTGATCGAAATCGGTTCAGATATAGATATAGCTCCCATATATATTGTTCATCCGATTTTTTATTTTTGTCCTCCGCAGCCGTAATATGCGCTTTGTAGCAACGATATTTAAGGAAATATATCAAATATAACTCAGAAATACCCTTGCTAAATTTTATCGAGGCCGGTTTAGATTTGGATATAGCTCCCATATATTACTTCGTCCGATTTACATTTTATTGTACACCAAACGTCTAATATTTGCCCAAATTGGATGAAATTTGGCACTTACGACCGAATTGAGTCTAGAAGCTAGTATGTCAAATTTGAAGATCGGTTAAGATATAGATATAGCTCCCATATACATTGTTAATCCGATTTGTTATTTTTGTCCTCCGCACACTGTAGCAACGAATTTGGGAAATATATCAAATATAACTCAGAAATACCCTTGCTAAATACTATCGAGATCGGTTAATATTTGGATACAGCTCCCATATATATCTTAGTAAAAATCAATTCAGAGGAGGATATTCCTCCCATATATTGTCCTTTGGACTTTTAATTATCACTATAATCATAGTTGATGATTTGTGATTTAATCCTCACAAATTCTCTATTTAAACTTTTATTTGTTATGTGAAGCTCTACTAAATATGCAAAGTGGTGTAGCGCATCATAAAGTCGACCCTGCCGCAGTTTAAGATTTTCGCTACTGGTTTTATTTCATTATTATTATTTATTTATTTATTTTTTTTTTTTTTTTGAGCGCGATACGAAGGGTAGCGGACTGATTCTAACCTAATAAAAAAATGATGAGGCGGCGACGACATCAGATCGCTTTCTTTAAATACATGATTGTTTCTATGATTACAATGAATGAGGTTACTCGTTTCATTTCCAGCGCCAGTGGCAACCATAATCTTCGGATACCAATCCGTTGGACTATTGTGTCTGGAGTATTTTGGAAATCAAGGTTGGCACTAAAAAATACCAAATTGTCGAAGCGCTTCGCCTAGAATGGGCCAAAATACCGCAGATTAACATTCGGGTAGCGTGTGACGGTTTCATTGACCGTTTAAAGGCCATAATTCGTGCCAAAGGTGACCATTCGAACAAATCTAAACTAATTCTAAAATTTGATGTTATTTTCGACATCTTTTACTTTCATTCAATAAAATTTAAAAAAGCAAGCAAGCCAAGGCTGTAATCGTGCGGGGCCGATCATGTGATACTCTATAACACTACAATATGTTAGAAACTCACCTATATCCAAATTCATTTGGAAGATTTCGCTTTTGAAATTATGCCACGGAACACTGTCCAGATATACCCTTGGCACTTTGACCAGGGACATTTGCTCAATGTTTACGCACTCCGTCGTGCTGTTAGTTAGAGCAAAAATATAATCCAATGGTCATCCGAAGAAGAAGTCTACCCTGTCCTTACTCTCTTCTCGTGCAAAACTCCGTGTCGATTGGTTTCAATTGTGTGATCCAGAAAATTTTCTGTTTTTGGCTGAATTGAACTCCTAAGTATTTGGCGATAATCTCCAAATGCAAGAGCCTCCCCTATATCTCCAAATTAAGACTTTATATTTGATTTGCTTGTCGTCGATATTAGCAATATTCTTCAACGAAATCAGCTTTAAGAAGCCAGAAGTTCGCCTTTTGTGTATTTTGGATATTGCCTGTAAGATATTTTCAGCGTTTCGGTAGAATAAAAATGTTGGTATTTTTTCACACAAAAGTAGTGGTTCATTCTACCCACTCTCCTAAACTATAACGTCAGTTCCTGTCTTTTGGTTTATATTTGCGACCTTTATAACGGCTGAAATATATTGCGGACATTTAGCCCTACTGAGCCTAATACTACTCTCGTGAAATTTTTGTGAGAATCGGACAATAATTGCAATCTGTCTATAATAACTCCAACCTGTTTTGTAAGGTGAAAAATATTACAAAAGGTATTCTTCAATATTATAAATCAAATTAAAAATAAAAATATAAAAAAAAAAAATAATTTAACAAAATACTACAAAATCTATATTATCATCATTATTAGAATCTTTTTATACGATTTTTTTTAGATTTTATCCTTTTATGCCAAGAGGGCATTCTGAATTGGTAAGATTTGTCAAAATCGATGCAGCCATTCATGAGGTACATGCATTTAAGCTAACATCCCCTTCCTTTGTATATGCACATTGTATATATTTCGCTATATATACCCGATATATGTACTATCGGCATGTACGTAACGGTCAGAGTTGACCTGTTCGTCTATTTGTGATTTCGCCAGGAGTAAAAATATTCATGGTTTAATGCAAAATTTAACCTTTATTTAACATAAATGTTATGATCTATTTCTCCTACTAATATTACCCGATGACCATCAAAATTGGAAGGCTTCTGCCCAGCCCTATGCTCTAGCCTCATGCTAACTTCCGCGTCGATTGGCCCATAATTGCGACCTGTAAAGTAACTGCAAAATCATGAAATTTTCAGTTTTTGGTCCATTTCAACCCCTAAATATTATGCGATCATCTCCAAAATAATAGGGGTCTATTTCGTGAAGATCGAGCCATAATTGCGACTTGTAGAGTGATTACAAATTAACATGAACAGACGGACGGACTCACATACATAGCTAGATCGACTCAGCTCGGCGAGATAGTACGATCCATATATATACTGGTGGCCAAAACTAAAGCAACTTAAATCGCAAAGACAATGAATGTTCTGTAACTTTTACAAAAAAAAAAAAAAAAAAAAAAAAAAAAAACAAATCCTAATTATTATTCTAGTTTTAAATGAGGGGTTTAATTCACTTTTAAGAAACTAAAATAAAAATACAAAATAATTTTGAACGAAAAATAATATGTGGAAAACTAAAATGACCCAAGTTTTGCTTGGTCAAAACTAAAGCAACTTTTGATTTTATTTTAAAATAATTAAATTTTGGCTAGTAGTCGATAGTATAACCATTATTTTTGATAGCAGCTGCACACCTACGAGGCACACCTACGAGGCACCAATTTGATCCTTGGGTGTGCTTTCCCAGGCACCCCGAATTCTTAGAGAATGTTGTGCTTATTATTTCCGAATCTCTCTTGATCTTCCTATCTACGATACTCCAAGGTTTTCTAAGGAGTTAGGTCAGGTGATTGTGCCGGCCATAACAAAACATGAATTTTTGACTCCCGCAGCCAATATTGACAAGTTTTGATACAAGTTTGGGATCATTGCATGTCATGCTGAAACACCCAAATCAGCCGAATATTTTACTCAGCGTAAGGGAACAACGTGATGTCCAATACATCTTTGTAAACAAACCGATCCACAACTTCCTTTATTTTATGGATAGGCCCAAGTCCATAGAAAGAAAAACAGCGCCACTCCGTCATACTTCACTGTACCTTTGCAACACTGCGGCTTGAGTCCTTCATTTTTTGGTCTTCTCACCGTAAAATTTTTCACGTCTGAGCCTTTAATATTAAACGTAGACTCATCCCAGAATAATGTTTTTTCCATTGAGCTTGATTCCACTTAATATTATCGTTTCCGAAAGCCTTTTGATTTTTTTCGGATATAAATGGTGTTTTGATGTCTTACGGGCAGGCAGGACCAGCTGCCACTACTCGTCTACGCACTGATCTCGAGCTTATATCCAATGATTGCTCTCTCACCAATCCAGTTTGAACTCTTAAATAGTTGTTTTTTATTTCTCTAACAATTTGTTTGATCAGTACGGGATGAAGTTTTTTCACGGCCTTCATCTGTTATAGACTGTTACTACGTCAGTTTCAAAAAACCAACTTAGTATACAGAAATAATCATGAAAATCACATAAAATATTTATGAAATAAAAAAAACTTCTCAAAAAGGGTTTATGACAAGCGAAATTGTTTTGTCAAGCCAAAATCGGGTTAATTGACTTTACCGAACATTTTTTTTATATAAAATGAATTTTGGTTTATGTTTTAGGTTTTTAAAAAGTGAATAAAATACCTAATTTAAAACAAGAAACACTTTCTCATTTTCATAATTTTGAAAAAGTTACAGGGCATTCATTCTCCTTGTAATTTCAGTTGCTTTAGTTTGGCCACCAGTGCACTTTTTCGATGTGGGTAACCAATATTTCGAGGTGTTACATAATTTTTGGCCTAATCAAACTATAATACCCCCAACACATAGTGTTGTAGGGTATACAATTGAAAATTATAGCGTTTGACTTTGTTGCAGTTTTTTTATCTCACTCGTACTTACGCCGAATTAAGTAGAATTTGTCTTAGCTTTAGATATTAGTTTAATACGAAATTTTCCTTTTTGGTAGAATAAGCTGTGAGCTCAGAGAAATCCAATTTCACTCGAGTTCGAGTGAATGCTGTCAATTATTAAATTTTCGATCGCATTAGA